GTTCTTGACTTTCATTTCAAGAAAAAATTTAGAATGGATCATTAAATAGTTGATTAGTGAACATCTGGTAAAGGAAGTGGTGGTTACAAAAAGCCAATATGAAGCATGAATGGATAGAGCATGCTAAAACTGAACATTTCTTTTTTGACAGTGTTGCTAAACTGATAAATTTGGCAAATGATGTAGATTTAGCTTAGTTGAATTTTAGCAAATAATATAAAGTATTTCATTCTATTCTCATGGAAAAGATGGAGTGATATGGATTACATGGTAAGACAATTAGGATTCAGGAATGGAAGAATGGTCAGACTTAAAAGAGTAGTTAGTGAACCATTGAACTTAACCATTGTTCAGTGTCAAGTTGATATCTATATTTGGCTCTATCTATCTAAATATCTATATTTAACCTTTTTTTTAATCGATATCAACATGACAAAAATATAAATGGAATCTTCATCAAATTTGTAAGTGGCACAAAACTAAGAGAGATAACTAACAGAATGACAGTCAGGATCTAAAAAAATTGTGAGAGACTAGAAACATTTGCTAAATCTAAAAAAGATGAAATTCAAAATAGATTTGTATAACATCTTACACTTGAGTTAAAAAAATTAACCTCACAAGTAGAAGATGGAGAGACAGCAGTATCTGGAAAAGATAAAGATCATTCCTCCTGGCTTCTGATTATATATTTTTTTTACCTCTTTTTCGATAGTCTTTTCAGTAGGGAGATGCCTCTGCCCTGCTAGCCCCCTCCTTTGACTGCCAAATTCTTGACAAGGGCTACCAATTAAGGAAGTACCTGGGCTATCCATGCTTACTTCTTGCTCAGCTCCGTTCTTGACTCTCCACAATTTTTGCCTTGCCCCTCACAGATACGCTGCCTTTATATGTAGTCTTCCCCATTAGAATGTAAGCTTCTTGTGGACAGGCAATAGCTTTTTCATTTTATTTTTATTTGCTTTTATTTGTATTCTCAGTGCTTAGCACAGTGCCTGGCCCACTGTATGTGCTAAAAATGTTCTCTCTCTCTATGTCCATCTTTGCCTCTGTCTCTGTCTCTCTCTGGGTCTCTCTCTCCCTCTCCCTCTCCCTGTCTCTCTGTCTCTCTTTATCTAAATAGACTACAAGCTCAACATAAATCAGCAGTGTGATGTGGCAGCCATCAAAGCTCATCAGATTTTGGATTGTTTCCAGGAACAAGGAAGTAATAGTCCCTCTGCACTTGACTTTGGTCAGACTATATCTAGGGTATTATATTCATTTCTGAGTGCCCCAGTTTAAAAGGGACATTAGTATATTGGGAAGATCCATAGGAATGCAATTAGAATGACAAAGGATGTTGATTTCATCTCATTTGAGGATCATTTGAAGGAACTAGCATATTTAACCTGGAGATAAGAAGGAAGGGAGGGTACAAATAATAGCTGTCTTCAAGTATTTGAATGGTTTTCAAGTGGAATAGAGATTAGACTTATTCTGTTTGGCCCTCATGACAGAACAAGTATTAATGGCTGGAAGTGGTAAATCAGTAAATTTAGCTTGATGTAAGGAAGAAACTTACTGAAAATCATTTCTGTGCAAAAGTAGAAGAGGTTGCCTCATCTTGTTGGGTTCTTCATATTGGAGTTCCTCAAACAGAGGGTGGATGACTGACTACTTGTCTGGTACGTTATGGTAATCATTCTTTTAAAGTACTGGTTGGATGAGTGGCCACTAAATTTACTTCCAACTTTGAAATGCTCAGATTTTGCAGTTATTAATTAAAAACAATATATTGGTAACAAACTTCACTAAGTTGTTTGTAAGTTTCTTAGAATCAGAAAAATTATATATAAAATCAGCCTGTGATTTTGTTACTATTAGTAGCAAGCACATAAATAATTTAAAATTATTTATTGTGAAGGCTTAGCTTAAATTTTAATTAAAATGAATTGTTCTGCCATTGCAAAACAAAAAATTGAAAACCATTGCTTCGTGGTTGTGGTTATTCCTATCTTCACTGAAATTTTAATGGAGATAAGCATGGTCTTCCTTCCCTAAAATCTGGAACCCTTCATCATTCAATATCTCTCCCTTCCCCTTTCTCTCTCCTACTCCCTCTGTCTTCTTTCTCTCTTCTCTCTTTCTCTCTGTCTCTCTCTTTTCTCTCTTTCTGCCTCTCTCTGTCTCTTTGTTTCTCTCCCTCTCTCGAATATTTACTAAGCATTTACTATGTGCCAGGAATTGTGCTCTGGAGATACAAATACATGAGAAATGATTATTTTCTTTCTTGTATTTAATAACTAATAATTGAATCAGGACCAAAGTTTTTCCCCTTTTCTACTTCCTCATCCAGAAACCAACCAGCATGAGAAATCTCTCTTAAAGATTTACCCGGGCCAAGATCTAATTAGATAATAAAAGAAATTCTAAGTTTGGGTTAATGGGCATATTCCTGCTCATTGCATTTGCTCAGACAAGTCTGGGGAAGTATTGATTCTCCCTTTTGTCAAAACAGGTGATACGGAAATTAATGTCTCTTTGACCAATATTTGGGTGACCCAAGTTGTATACCCCAAGACCCTCATTTTATTTTATTTTTGTTTTAGGAAATTGGGGTTAAGTGACTTGCCCAGGGTCAACACAGCTAGTAAGTGTCAAGTGTTTGGCCTGAGGCCAGATTTGAATTCAGGTCCTCCTGACTTCAGGGCAGGTGCTCTATCCACTGCAACCTAGCTGCCCCCCAAGACCTTCATTTTAATATAGTCCACTTCCCATTGTGTTAACCAATCAGAATTGATTGATACCCCTCCAGAACACCTACTCTTTGAAGGTATATAAACTGTGAGCCCACTGCCATGAGGGGTCTTTGGTCTAAGAGAGATGGCCAAATGATCATCCTTTTATTAATAAACATGCTGGCCTTACTAAGAAAATAATTAAATTACCCAAAAACGATGTCTCTCAGAATTTTTTAATCATCACAAATACAAGAAAAAAAAAGTGAGTTCATATTTTCAAAGAGCTTGTATTCTAATAGAGGACAAAAGATAAAGAGCTGGAAAGCTGCAGGGGAGTATAGTGCAAAATTTCTGGTGACGAGTCAGAACAAGTTTAGGAGAGTGAGTTTAGCTGAGAGATGAAGTGAGCATGGCTGGAGCTCCTTGTGAAATGGTGATCCTGGCCAAGGTTTCTCCAAAAAGGAAAGTAGTCACTGGGAGGCAGCATCACTCAAAACTTCTATTTCCCAGGTATTGATGAGTTTCCCTTACCTTTAATCACCCCGAGACATATACACACATACACACACTTCTTGTAGGTAGACCTAAGAGATACTGGTAAGGCTGGTCAATCAAGGGAAATTAATTTGCATATCTAGGAAACTACAAATTAGTTTTCTGTCTCTATTTACTTCACAGAGAAAAGTCATCTTTGACCATTCCCTGACAGTCTCAAACACTTATTTTGTGAAAGACACAAACAGAACATTCCTTAATTTTGATCTACCATGAAGCTCATGTAGAATGTGAAACTGCATGGCAGATACAGATTTCTGATTACCATTCTTAGGGTGTGTTTGAGGTTACCCTGAACAGTCTGTGGAATGTTAGGTATGTCCACTCAAAGATAGGGTGATTTTGGGCCATGGTATAAATGAGGAAACATAGAATTTTTATTTCTGAATGTCTTGAATATTCTTCATATGAGGATGTGTAAAAACTTTTTACAGAAGTTAAAACTATGCCAGTGATTGCTTAGTTCCATTGAAAAAAGGAAAAATCTATCGAATTTCTAAAAGAGGGAATTTCAATTTCACAAGAATACTTAAGTCTGTAAAAAGTTAAAGGGCATATTAAGTTTCCAGAGAAAAATAGTGGGGCAGCTTAAAAAGTGCATTTTAATGTGCTAGAAAGTCAGGACTCATGTTAATGGTCTTAAAACTGTCAAAGAACATAGCGGTGATTCAGAGTAAAACTACAATTCATTTCCAAGTGTCTCATAACTTAAGTTATGAGACTTCCAAAATATGTGAAAATAACATTTATACCAGATGTGCGGGTTGAATGCAATTGTTCACCTGTCACACTCTTAAATTCACCTGATATCTGTTTCCAGCTGCTGGCTTGCTATTTTGGCATTTGCAAGATTAAAAAAAAAAACAAACCCTCTGCCTCTTAGATTTTTCCCCAAGTATATGGTAGATGCATTTAACATCAGGTCTCCTTCCCTTGCTATATCAATATACCCACCTTTGCTTCGAAAGTGCTAAGAGGATGAATAGCTACACAGATATTATTTTAACTATATGAATACTGTAAAGTATGGCTAAGTAGGTTTGTTGAGGACCCTCATCTCCAATAGAATTCAGGCTAACAATTGTAGTTGCTCATTGCATCCATTCCAGACTTAGAAAAAAATATTGCAAAATAAAATCAGAAGAATGCAAAGGCAAAATGATGACTGAACCACAAGATTCAATTGTTATATATGAGTGGTGCTAGGGATGGACAGTGGGGGGGGAAGACATATTGTTTGTATGTTCTGAGAAATGTCTAAAATTTCTGAAGTATTACTTGGATATTTGATTGTAGGCAGCTAGGTGGCAAAGTGGATAGAGTGGGGCCTGGAGTCAGGAAGACACCTTCATGAGTTCACATATGGGCTCAGACACTTACTAGCTGTGTGACCCTGAGCAAGTCACTTAACCTCGTTTGCCTCAGTTTCCTCATCTGTAAAATGAAGTGGAGAAGGAAATAGCAAACCACTCTAGTATCTTTGCCAAGAAAACCCCAATGGAGTCATGAAGAGTTGGACCAATTGAAATGATTGAACAACAACAACAACAAAACATTTGATTGGGTTGTCCATTTTTCCCCCTCTGTTCAGTGATGCAGTAGCATCACTGATATAAAAAAATACAGTTCCTCGGTGTAGAAAAACAAACATTTATTGGAGGTACTTAAGAAAATAATTTCTCTTTAAATTATGGTATAAGACCAAAGCAATTAGACTTTTACCTCAAATTTTCTGAACTGAATTCTGACTCTAGAAATTTGAGGAACTGTTCTCTCCCAACTGGATCTTTCAATGCTTCATCCATGCCGAAACCCCATCGTTTAACTCTCTGCTGGCCAGGTTCTTTGCTGTAAGTACAGAACAGGTCAATACAAATCATTCTACCACATATCCATTTTTCCAGTTTTCTAGTACTACCACATTTATCTTAATAAGTCAGATTAATGTTGAAGTTTTAGCCTTTAAATCCTCCTCATCTTTCATCTAGTTAAGAACATTTAAAGATAAATGAAGCTATATGCATATAGTCACAGTGTGAAAGATGGGGGATCAGACCGCAGTATAATGTTATAAAGTGTGTGGAGCAAGGGAGAGAAGTGCATGCTCATTGTCCCTGCTACCAGAGAGGCTGAGGCTGGTAGATCTCTTGAGCTTGAGTGTTCAGAGCTGCAATGTGCTAAGCAGATCAAGTGTCTGCATTAAGTTTATCTTTGTCATCGTAAGCGTCCAGAAATGGGAGGGGATGGCTACCACATTGCCTAAGGAGGAGGAGTGAACTAGCTCAGTTCAGAAGCTAATGCACTAGGTCAAATCCCTCATGCCAATCAGAAATGAAGTGGGACTGGGAGTCTCCCAAGTACTTATAGCCTGGGCAGCATAGAGAGAGAACCAGTGTGTTGTTGTTTTTTTTGTTTGTTTGTTTGTTTTGTTTTGTTTTGTTTTGTTTGGTTTTGTTTTGTTTAAGTATGGGAATCAAGAGACATGAGTTCTAGTCTCAGGGGCCCTAACTCTAACTAGCTGCCCTTTAACCTCTCCCTCAGTGTCCACATCTGCAATGAGGTTTATCAACTCATGCCTAGATTCCTGCCAGTTAGAAAATTCTGTAGAGAACAGATTAAATTAGACTGGGTTTGCTAAAACAGTTATGGAACACTGGCTGGATTTAGGAGAGAAGAAAGGTCATGGAATCTGCTTAGGTTTCTGTACATTACTAAATCCTCACTGAGGTGCTGTTATTTGGTGACTTCTCCATCTATGTACTCTTAGATGATTCTTCCTCTAGCTATAATGCAAAGGGCAGAATGGGGAAATTCTAAACAGGTTTTCAGCTTTGCTCAGAGGCTTGTCTATACAGGAAATTTATAATTGCAACTTGGAGTTTTCCCATATATGTTATATGTACTATAAGCATTATACACACACACATACACACATATACACTATAGCATATAGTATATATACATAATGTATGGTATATAATTATAGTATATAACATACTATGTCATAGTTCTTTCTTCCTCCCCTTCTCCCTCTATTAAGGGTAACCACAACCCAAAATATATTTATATCAGATAGAAATTCCCATCACCTTCAGAAATGTCACTCAAAGTATTTGGATTATGCCCAAGGATGGTTTTGGTTCATGTACTAAATGAGTGTTCATAGACTAGGGATTATTAGGAGGTGAGATAGAGAGTACTTCAGGAGCTAATCAATTTGGATCCATTTCAGAAATGGAAATCCCTCTCCCTTTTGTGAGTAAGTCTTTAAAACTATTGTATCTTATGCCTTGGCAGCCTATGGAAGTAGGTGTCACACATCATAGGACCTAGAACAATGCCTTCTGTTCAAAGGAACAATACATCCTTGACCACCATATTCTAATAGGAAAATTAATGGTTCTTAGAATTTACAAACTCTAGGATTCTTCTCCTTTGGAAGCAAATCCTGAAATGAAGCATAGCTTTTTTTGTGGGAAGGAGAGTTAAAAAGTCACCTACCTTGCTTCAAGTTCCCAGAAAGTGGTATCATCTGACATCCATGGATTAGAAGGGTCAGGTGGCACAAGAAAGGGGTCATATTCAACATACTGTTCTGTGTAGCTTAGTAGACTAGGAACAAGCAAAAAAAGCACATACTTACAATCTTTTAGTTTCTCTAGATATAATAACACAGTGCAAATGAAATAGGTTACGAGATATTTAACCAAGGAAATCCTACTTATTAGGACTATAACAGGAAATTCAAATTTCATGCCATTTTTCATACTTCCACAATTCCATCTTGTATATACGGATTTATTATGTTTATTAATGAACTCAGAATACTGGTAAATAATAGCAATAAAGTTACTGATTACCAATAAAAGACTCATAACTAGGCACATACTGAGAAATAACAACTGGTTCTTCCCCCCAAAAAGTATACATGAAATATTTTTCAGTTTAATGTGCATTATTAACATTTTCTCTATCACTTTTTTCTAGTCAATCGACAAAATTTTATATATGTATGTATACATATTATAGATACTATATATAATACACATACATGTATATATTATTTATGTGTGTATACACACACATACGTGATTGGTAGTTTGCCAATTCCTGAGGTATAATGTCCATGTCGAAAATTTCACAATTGAGTCTCCTGAGCCAGCAGGAGTTGACTCTAGCACACCTGTGAAGTCATATCCCCTGTTCAGTCTCATTTTCCCTGCTAATGAAGTGATTGACTTACCAATTGATTGAGAACTGACTATCTCTCACCCATGAATGTTAAAAATAAGATTTTAAAGTTTGATCAAATGATCAAAGCTTCAGAGCTGGAAATGGCTTAAGAAGTCATCTATTCTAACTCCTTCACATTACAGGTGAGGAAATTGGCTCAAGAAGATTAAATAATGTGCCCAAGGTCACATAAAGTAGTAGAGGTAGGATTAGAACCCAGGTCTTCTCACTCCACATCCATCATTCTTTCCACTAGAGGCAGCGAGGTGGAGTAGTGGATAGAGTGCTGGGTGTGAAGTCAGCAAAACTCAAGTTCCACTGGGGTCTCAGATTTAATATGGTTTGATCAAATGAAGCATCACATTAGCTGAATGACCCTGGGCAATTAATCTCTGGTCTGGTTGTTGTGAGAACCAAATGAAATAACACTTGTAAAGCATTTAGCACAATGCCTGGCACATCGTAGGTGCTTAAAAATGATTGTTCTTTCCCCTCCTACTGTGGTGGAAAAATACACCACAACATACTAATTATGAAGAATGAATCTAAACGGTGGGTAGGGGAAATAGCTAAAATGTGGTCCTCTGGCTCAAACAAAGAATGCCATTTGGTGAAGGAGTGACATAGGAGCTATACATTATTTACAAAAATCTTACCTTTTTTGTTTTTAAATTTTATTTATTTTATTTTGAAATTAAGAAATAAAACAAGCATTTCCATAACATAGTAGAATAGGGGAAGAAAGATGATTGTACATGAAACTGCATTCTATACATACTTCTATTTAACACTTCTTTCTCTAGATGCAGATAGTGTCTTCCTTCATATGTCCTTTGTAGTTAATTTGGATATTTATAACAGTCAAAATGACTTAGTCATTCAAAGTCATTCTTAAAACAATATTGTTGTTGCTGTATTAAATTGAACCAGAAAACTTCATTCCTATCTGGAATAAAGAGGTTCAGATCCCAGCCTGTTTCATGCCTGGAGCTAAATTGGGATGCTTCCCATACATGTGGGGATGTAAGCAAGGAACTATCATCATTACATTGAGGCAACTCAACTCCTTTTTCTGCTCTTTCTGAGAAGTCTTGAATTATTCACCTCAGCTTTATCCTCTAATTCCACATTTCCCTGCTACCTCTGATATATTTCCTTCCTATCTTTAATTTAAGACTTTAAAAGGTCAACATCTTAAAATCCTTACCTATCAGCAACTTTGGACATTTTTAACCGATGTCTGTCTAACTGTATTTGCCAGTATTTTATCTGGAAAAAGAAAAGGAGGATTAACAGTTACAGGGGTGATAGGTATTTTCCTCCACTCACACAACTTCCATTTCCAAATTCTGAATATGAGCAATGTTGAACTGACATTTGATGAATTTAGTTAAAAAATAAATGAAATAAATTGTATCTAATGGAGGCAACACTCTTCTTCAAGTAATTAATTTACTCTCTAGTATAATCCAGTTATGAGAACTGAAACCAGTATGAGGATGCACTACCTGCAGACAAAAAAAATTGTTAAGCATTCTGCCTAATTTAATAAAATAAGGCAAATGTCGTTTTTTCCTTGAAGAGCAAAGCATTTCTTCAACATCCCACTGAGTAAAAAAAAAAACAAAGAACAGTCATATTTTAATCAATATTTGATTAAAAAATGATATTCATTCATCATTTGTAGCTTTCAGCCTTTTGTCCAATTCTGACTTGCTGTCTCTGAAGACCAGACAAATGAAACATCAAAGGCACATGCTTGGAAAAATATCTGATCTCCCAATCCCTCCATCTGCCTTGACTGCCCCACCTTATACAAAAAATTGCATGAATAAAACTTTTGATTAAAAGGCTTTCCATGGAAACAATTTCTGATAATGCATTGCCTCACATAGATTAAAAATCCATTAGGAAAGGGCTTATAATGCTTACATTATTGTTTAGTACAATACTAAGTTGACTGTTAATAATTCTTCTATAAGCTAATGCACAGGAGAGTATTAGGAGGAAGAGAACCAAATAGAAAGCAAAAAAAAACACAAAATGAAATTGGTGACTGAAATAATCTAAGGGATCCCATTATTAACGAACTGCAGAACTGGAATGCCAGTATAAGTCAAGAAAAAAGGATGCCAAAGCCTTCAAATTTCTCAGTTCTTATTATCAGATATTAGATCTTATCAGTTTTTATTCAGTATCACCTAAGGGGAGATATCTTAGCCACAAGAGTATGTCAGTTAGTAGAGAGTTATCCCCTAGAGTAAAGCATATATAGTATATATGACTTTATCACTGCCCTACTTTAATTTATCTTTCATAACTATCTAGCTCCCTAGTCTCTGGATAAGTGATTTTTCAAGCAGCCTCCTGATAATTAAATACTTTGGTTTCCCAAGTATTTTGATACCAGAAATGGGTGTTCTGGGAAAATATCCTCCCCATTAAATTTAATAATACTTATAAAATCCCTCCCTCCCTTCCTTCCTTTCTTCTTTCCTTTCTTTCTTCTTCCTTCCTTCCTTCCTTCCTTCCTTTCTTTTCTTTCTTTCCTTCTTTCTTTCTTTCTTTCTTTCTTTCTTTTTCTTTCTTTTTCTTTCTTTCTTTCTTCCTTCCTTCCTTCATTTCCTTCCTTCCTTCATTTCCTTCCTTTCTTCTTTCCTTCCTTTCTTCTTCCTTCCTTCCTTACTTCCTTTCTTCTATATCTCCTTCCTTCCTTCTTTTTCTGTTTTGTCAGTTTCTTATGTGTGTGTTTAACAAGAATCAGCTTCCCTCCCTGAATCTAATCACCCCTGAGTGACCTGCTAAAATTGAATTCCTGAAATTTTGAACCAGATTTCTGGACAAGTGGTGAATAGGTCACCTACCAAGGCATCTAATTTCATGAGACTCAACCAGTTCATTGACCTTTTTTTCTTTCTTTGCAAACATCTTAACTGTTAGGGTATGCCTCAAAATTCAGAAGCTTTTGTGCTGACTATATCTGTATATGGAAAGCCCAGGAATGTGACTGAGTGAGGAAACAATGACTTTGTCCCTGGGACATACTGCTCTCTCCAAGCCATTTCTCTACCCAATCACCTAAACTGAGAATCTAAGAGATTGAATTTGATAAATAGGGAACCTACCACTCTAAGAAGGATTGGTAGTTGTTAGGCAAAAAAAAAAAATTACCTGGTTTAGAACCTAGTCTTCAGAGGTTACAGTTGAGAGATATGTGAAGTATTCACTACAAGCCAGGCAGGGGTTCTAAACCTCTCTTTGTTCTAAACCCTTTCAGTAACACAGTAACGCCTACAAACATTTTTCTCAGAATAATCTTTTTAAATAATTGTTGGAAGTGCTAAATTTGAGTTAGACATTAGGTTAGTGAAAATAAAGATCTATATCTATCTGTCTATCTATCTATCTATCTATCTATCTATCTATCTATCTATCTATCT